CCATCCCCCCCCGGCCGCCCCTATGGATGCTACGAGTGCGGGAAAGGCTTCGGCACCAGTTCGGCTTTAGTAACCCATCGGCGGATCCATACGGGCGAAAAACCCTATAAGTGCCCCGACTGCGGCGATCGATTCAACCAAAATTCGGCGTTAGCGGCTCATCGGCGGATCCATACGGGCGAAAAACCCTATAAGTGCCCCGACTGCGGGAAAAAATTCGGTCACAGTTCGACGTTGGTTAAACATCGTAGGATCCATACGGGGGAAAAACCTTACGTTTGCGAAGAATGCGGGAAAAGTTTTAGTATCCGATCGACCCATATCCGCCATCGGAAAACCCATACGGGTGAACGCCCCTATAGATGTCCCGATTGCGGGAAAAGTTTTAGCGATAGCTCTTATTTCGTTCAACATCAACGCCTTCATATAGGCGACATGCCCTATATATGTCGCGATTGCGGGAAACACTTTATATGGAGTTCGGCTTTAATTCGTCATCGACGGATCCATACTGGTGAGAAACCCTATACGTGCCCGGATTGCGGGAAGAGTTTTAGCGAAAATTCGACGTTATTACGGCATCGACGGATCCATACGGGCGAGAAATTCTATAAGTGCACTCAGTGCGGGAAGAGCTTCAACGATAGCTCCTCGTTGATGCGTCACCAACGTGTCCACACCGGTGAAAGACCCTACCAGTGTTCCCAGTGTGGGAAGAGCTTCGTGGACAGCTCGACCCTCATCTGTCACCAACGGATCCATACGGGCGAGCGACCCTACGCCTGTCCCGACTGCGGGAAGAGCTTTACGGAGAGCTCTACGCTCATCACCCATCATCGGATCCATACTGGAGAGAAACCCTATACGTGTCCCGATTGCGGGAAGAGCTTCAGTCAAAGCTCCAACTTGGTGACCCATCAACGGATCCATACGGGTGAACGACCCTATAGCTGCTCCCAGTGCGGGAAGAGGTTTTATCGGAGCTCGGATCTCATCCGTCATCACCGGACCCACGTCGGGGACCGCCGAAAATGAAGGGGGGGACGGTCAAGGTCGCCCCGTTTTCCGACCTCCGTGCCACCAACGATGCCTCCTCCAGCTCCTCGTGGGCCACAAAATGGCGGCGCCTCAGGAACCGCTTCGCTTCCCAACCCATATTTGCATTTTTTCAAGCCTCTGAGTTTGATTTTACCAAAATAAGGGCAAAAAAAAAAAAGGTTTTATCGTGGTGACGCCCACCTCAAGGGACGAAGGGGACGCGGCAGGATGGCACCTTGGATATTTTTGGGGGGGGGGGGCAAAACATCCGCCCGGAGCATTTTAGGGTGACTTTCGAGGGGATTTGGTGGCTTGTGCCGAAGGAAACGGGGCTACGAGGTGAGATTGAGTCATTTTGAGGGGAAAAAAAACCCTTTTTCCTCCCTCTAAGTTGCTGATTTAGGGAGATTTAGACCCAAAATTCGGTCTCTGCGCCGTCGCCGTCCGACCGTGGTGGCTGGAAAATTT